TGGAAAGTGTTCCTGTGGATAACAGCTGTTCCCACCAGAGCATGCTAGATCAGCTCAATGACATCACCATTTGTGTTCCTGAAGGCTCATGTGCGCCCTCTAGTGGACACTGGCGATGTGGTAGTCTCTGGTCTGTCATACACGTGAGTGCCCTACAGCCCCACTTGCATACATGCAAAATGTCATTGCTTCACAATGCACAGGAGTGCTGCTGACTAGCATCCGGTTCGAACAGTTCAATAACCTGGAGATGCTCTCCAGGATATCTGTATGTGACCTGAATACAGGACAGACACCAAGGAGCAAACTGCCAGCTTTGTAATGGATTCACACAAGTACCCTAACTGTAATTTTGTATCTTCAGAACTCATGCCACACAACGAATCGGCAGAAAAAAAAGTAAGAAGAAGTAATTTAAACGTTAGCGGTAGATTCAGTAAAAACATCAAATTAAATAATACTGTACATCAAATTAAGTAAATTCAAATGAGCACTAACAGCAGTAACTGTGAAGAGCACAGACACATGGTGTCTGTGAGACAGATCAGTGATTCCTGTCCTGTGATGTGCTCCCAGTGCTCCACATGTCCAATGTAAATGGACAATTAACTGGTGCCATCATGTCAGAAGCAGCTGGATCATAAAGCCAAGCAGAATCTCTACGCACTCCCCAGGAGGGTCCCTCAGTCCCCCCACCCCCCGCCTCCCCAAGCCTGTTGCCATGGTACTCACAGTCTTGTAGTCAATGATGGCGGTGACGGACTGGCGCCCCGCCCCCACGTGCTGGATAGCGATTCCCTGCTCCTTGTTGATCACCAGAGTGTGGTGGACATCCTTCCCATCTTTCCCCTTGTTGACCAGTGACACACTCTGGGAGAGGGAGGGAGAGAGGGAGAGAGTAAGGAAGGGAAAGAGAGGAAGAGCCGGAGACAGTGAGAGGAGGAGAGAGGGAAAGAGGGAGGGGGAGAGAGGGAGAGAAGGATAGAGAGATAGAGGGAGGGGGTGAGAGGGATAGAGAGATAGAGAGAGGGAGGGAGAGAGAGATAGAGAGAGGGGGAGAGAGGGATAGAAGGATAGAGAGATGGAGGGGGTGAGAGGGATAGAGAGATAGAGGGAGGGAGGGAGAGAGAGATAGAGGGAGGGGGAGAGAGGGATAGAGGGAGGGGGAGAGAGGGAGAGAAGGATAGAGAGATAGAGGGAGGGGGAGAGAGGGATAGAGAGATAGAGGGAGGGGGGGAGAGGGATAAAGAGATAGAAGGAGGGAGAGAGATAGAGGGGGAGAGAGGGAGAGAAGCATAGAGAGATAGAGGGAGGGGGAGAGAGGGGGAGAGAGGGATAGAGAGATAGAGGGAGGGAGAGAGAAGGATAGAGATAGAGGGAGGGGGAGACAGGGAGAGAGGGAGGGGGAGAAAGATTGAGGGAGGGGGAAAGAGGGATAGAGGGATAGAGGGAGGGGGAGAGAGAAACAGGCAAAGAAGGAGAGGAAGAGGAAGAGAGGGAGTGAAGGAGGGATAGAGGGAGAAAAGGAGAGAGAGGAAGAGATGCGAGAGGGAGAGAAAGAGGGAGAAGGGGGAGAGATAAAGGGAGAGGTAGGGACAGAATTGGTGTGCAGAAAGATTGAGAGAGGGAGGAAGAGAGAGGGATAAGGAGAGAGCTAATACTGAAACGACAGGACTTCAGCTGCACACGGACCCTGCCCTGGGGTTACAGTGATCCGGGCCGGGGAGATGGACAGAGACTGGGACAGAGGAGAGCAGGAGGGGCAGTGGAAGACTCTGACAGAGAGAAGAGAGCGAGGGAAGGGGACAGACACGACAAGAGACACTCACCTCCTCGGCGAGGATGGGCGCCAGGAGAACTCCGAGCAGGAGAGTGAGTGCGAGACACTGGGAGAGAGGAGAGAAAGGGCACAGTGAATTCATTGACTCATCAGTGTATCTCCTCCTCACCCGTGGAACTCACCACGATCCTCCACAGCTGGAGACGCATCGGTCTCAGAAATTGGACGAGGAGACCAGAGGCTACAGCAGGATGCCCTTACCTTAGCCATGCCGACTGCAGGTGTGCAGAGAAGGTGCCAGGGGGACGTCTGACTGAGGAGCTGCTCCTCTGTGCCTCCTTCATATACCCGCAGGGCAGGGGTGTGGGCAGGGCGGGAGGCCCTGGGCAAATACCCACTCACAAAAGCAACACACAGCAGCGGAGCGATCCTGTCGGGTCCCTCCATGTTCACATATTGACTCAGAGGCGGAGGCTGGTGATTAACTGACCGCACTCCTCTGGTCAGATAAGCCACTGGCTGGCAATGGATCACAGCACTGCCAGACTCCCAGAGCAGCACTGCTAGGATTGAAGAACTGCACTCTTGCCACTATTAACAAAAATTTACGAACACTTATATAACATTAACCTCATATTATTAGAAGGCTGACTTTCTGTTCCTTGGGCAGTTACATGAGATCACAAACTGGGTTGCCGTTGAGTTGGCTTGAGTTTCCTCCCCCACTAGGATTGGTAGTTGTTCTGATTCTGACGGGTGAAGGGATTCTGGGACTGATTTGTTAATTTGGGGAGGAATGTTTGTCTTATACTGGGGTATTTCCTGCAGTGCTGCAGAAAATGTGTCTCTGCATCTCCTTGCTACTCACCTTATGGCCCTCCCAGTCCAATCCCTAACAGGAATTCACTCCAGAGGGCTCCTTCTTCCACACATTCATGAACTATTAGCCTTCATACGTTGTTTGTTCTTCAGTAATTATTCTTGATCTTGTGAGCATAAAGCACTGCAGTGGAATGGACAGAGTGACCCTGGATTACACTGCTAACACTTCACAGCTTTTATTTGTCAATTTATTATAGTTTGGCACTATCCGGGGAGGCACAGTGGCAGAGGTTAGCATTGGATCCTTGTAGCACTGGGGCCCTGGGTTCAATTCCTGACCTGGGATGGATCTGTATGGAGTCTATTTGCTCTCCTCTTGTCCATGTGTGTTTCCTCCCACAATTCAAAGACAAACTGTTAGGTTAATTGGCTTCTGGGAAAACTGGGCCTAGTGTGAGTGTGAGTGTGTCTGTTTATGTGTCTATACCCCGTGATGAACTAGTATCCCAGCCAGGGTGTATCCTGCCTAGTGCTGTTGTTTGCTGGAGTAAATTCCAGCTCCCCTGCACAAGAATTGGTCACCTGTTATATATGGTGAATGAAAATGTACACAGTATCTTAAATGAGGCCATAGTAGTGCATTGTACTTTGTATTCTGACATCACATTGGATAATGCACTAGTAAGGCCCCATGATATTCTCTAGGGCCTAAAGTCTTGTCTGCTACTCTAGAGAACACAGTGTTAAGACAATGAATTTGACAATATTGCAGAATAACTACATGATTTATGATTAGCCTTTCATCCAAATGAATTAAGTTGATTAATTCATATCATTTCAGATCAGATGTGCTCGAGCAGGATCATACATCACTGGAGCTGTCAATAGCAGCCACACAGAGCATTACAGCTAAGGAAAATTCCCACAGGACATTTTCTATGAGTAATTATTCATCATTAACACTGAGTTCAGAAGGCAATTTTACAATTTAAATAGAATTTTAAAACATAGATTTTATAACACCGCTGAGATAAATACATAATGTAACAATAGTATCTATAAGCTCATAGAATATACATACTGTACATATATATACATTCTTGGAATACAAGCTTCTTAGATTTTTTAATTAAAGCTGATTGTTCAAATTCACCTGTTCATTTTTTAAAATTTAGAATAGCATAGCATAGAAGTATTTATGTAATAACTATGAGTATACTCCACAATTATGTGCTTTTTCATGTCTCATTTCACAGCTATGAACCGCACACAGCAGGAATGAGGAAATATAGGCAGACTCCTCCCACTTGCTCACCTTGACTGTGCTCAACTGATTGTGTGTCTCTGCATGAGGAGTCCCCATCATAGTCAGCTGGTGACCTGACCCAGGCTCACACCCGTGATCACAGAGCTAGCTTCACATCTCCCTGATAAAAACTAGATGTGCACACTGGCCATAAACCCCTGCCGCATAGGGACCATATTTATATCCATACAATAACTTCTTTCCTGGTTGTTAAATTCTGATGGCATATTGAACACTACACAACATACTTTAAAAAAAGAGAAAGTGATAATATTCCATCTATTCTAAATTCCATCCATCACTTTTTAACTGCTTCTTCCAATTTAGGATCAGAAGAGAGTCTGAATCTATCTTGCCAAGCAATGGGCACAAGGCAGGGTTCACCCTGGACAGGATGCCAGCCCATTGCAGGGCACACACACTCACGCCAGGGCTGTTTCTCCCAGAAGCCAATTAACCCACTGTCTTTGGACTGTGGGAAGAAACCACAGGTGATCGGGGAAGAACACGCAAACTCCACACAGACTGCACCCCAGGTTTGGAAACTAACTCATAGCCTCAGCTCTACAGGGCAGTAATGCTAAGCAGTGTGCCACCGTGCCATCCTCTGTTCTAAATTATTGTATCCAAATGTGTTTTTGAGCCAATATTCCCTCTTTAAATGAATTATGAGAGTCTAAATACAATCCTGCTCAGTCCCTTTGGTCCCTGGGATTTTCCCTTCTCTGAGCTACACTGAACACAGCTCTGTATCACAGACTGAGCTGTCAGATTGCATGTTTCTGCCTGCGAGATCAAACGGCAAATGGCATGATTCCTGAACGGGCCCGTCCTTTAATTACCTATTGACAATAACATCCTGGGAGATCCCACGTCCCGCCCGACACACAGCCTGAGAATTTTCCCCGGCTGGGGACTTGGGCTCACAGCCACAACTCCAAGTCAAACAGGGGTGGAGAAAGTCCAGATACGACCGAGATAAGCAGATCAATTCAATCTGAAGTCGCCAAACTGCGCTTTTGCGTTCCTGAGATACGTTGGCAGCAAACAGAAATCCCATTAATCTCAGAAAGAAGAAAAGAAAGGACAGAAACGGGAGGAGGCCATTAGCCCATCAAGCCTGTTTGACGTGTTGTAGTGAATCGATCGAGGGACCACATTCAACAGTTTCTTGACAGAAGCCAGGACATCAGCTTCAACAACATGGCTGGGTAGCTTGTTTGATGCCCCTAAAATCCTGCAAGAAATGAAATGCCCTCTGTACAGTTTTATAACTATCAGAGTAATGCCTGTCCCTGGGGAACTGTGGGATGTCCTGATTTTCAACCCTAAACTTCCATGAACTTCTGTTGATCCAAAAACGGATTCAACTGGAAATATTTAGGAGGTGTGGATGGGAACTGTGGGCAGCACGGTGGCCCAGGGTTCAGTTCCTGACCTGGGGTACTATCTGTGTGGAGTTTGCACGTTCTCCGCATGTTCACATAGGTTTCTCCGGGTGCTCCAGTTTCCTCCCACAGTCCAAAGACATGGTGGTGGGTTAATTGGCTTCTGGGAAAATTAGCCCCCGTGTGAGTGTGCGCTCTGCGATAGACTGGCATCCTGTCCAGGGCGTTCCCTGCCTTGTGCCCATTGCCTGCCACCGGCTCCCCTCCAATCCTGAATTGGAAGAAGTTAGTTAGAAGTTAGAAGATGGATGGATGGGAATTTTGCATTCGCAAGTCTAAAATCACAGCCCTGGTCTACTGGACCTTCCTAGGATTTCATTCCTGCCCAGCTCTTGGTCAGATTAATCAGACCCACTCTAGTTTCACGTGTCTGCATGAATACTCATGAGAACATGGTTTTCATAACCAGGAGGCCTGAGGAGAGCAGGAACTGAGCAGACAATCGGATGTTCAGACTGATGACTCAGACTATGGCATGCTGGGCCTTTAAAAACTCGATTACAGCTGGCCTGTCACTAATGGGCACAGATCAGGGCTTCAAATGTTTGGAATACACAGTGCTTTACGTGGGGCAATCACAGATGGTATAATGGGTTAAAAACCGCAGGGACTTCAGAGGTAAAGAGAAGTTGTCTTTATTGCAGGAAATCTCAATGTATATATATACACTCAGTCACCTACAAACATCCTAGCTCAGACCTTTCAGTGACACAGCCATAAACACTTAACTCACTAATTGTCCCTGTGTGAGAACGAGTTACAATTAATGTGTTCATGCCCCTTGAGATGGCTTACCCAGGTTGAGGTCTGTCAGACAAAGTGTCAGCTCGTCAGGATCACAGCTTGACAGCTGGCTCTGTGCCCGAGACTTTCAAGGAAAAGAGGAGAGGAGAAACGTCCTTCTGGGAATCTTCCAGTGTTCTCCTCCCACACCGGGAACGTTTCTCACATTCACTCCACAGGCCGTTGAAGAGCCCAGCGGTTTGTTTTGTGGGCACTTGTTCCAATGTGACAGAGGACTTGTGCTAATCTAATCAGGAGCCGGTAGTAGCACTGTGCTACACCCAAGTGTGGAATGATAACGTGCAGGAGGAGAGATCTAAGCAATTTGTGATCCAGTTCTCACAAGAATATAGGGAGAAAAAAACAGAAGCAACAAAAAACACCACCTGATCCTGCTTGGCCTTATGCATGATGTAGAGTCTGATATTGACACAGAGGAGTACGTGGCCGATACCTGAAATACATTCTAATTTGGAATTTCTCAGCAGGTCTCTATATGCACATATAGTAATTAAGTGCTACGGAGAAATGGTCAGCGTGTAGTTCCTCCTGGTACTCTGTGCCTGCTGGTTAGACCGGCAAACCGCGATCCTAAGCAAAAAGCAGGTACCTAGAAACGGATGGAAATGCTGTAAAGGGCTGTGTAGAAGACGTAGTACAGCAGTTCTCGGAGTTTTTGCTATCCCACAGTGCAGTTCACTTGAAAGCATGCTCTCCGTTTTGCACGAGTTTCACCTTTATGTTGACGGAAGACTAAGAAACGGAATCCATTTTGGCTCCGAACAGGAAGCTAAACTGGTACGGTGCACGGTTAAACTGATTGAGCCAAAATGGAGAAAGTGGACACCAGTTTCTTTACATACAGCATCTAGCCATATAGTTCGGAAAAGAAACCGGGGATTATACATGGGTGACACAGAAGAGGAAAAAAATGTCTATATAAATGTTATCCGCCACAATTATACTAAATAACTACCCGTACAAGTGTTAGACATTTAGATTACAAACGTTTGTATTTAAATAGATAAATGTATATGTGAGGGTACAACTTCGACAAGCTTTGGCTTCAATACGGAAGCTGAACTTTGAATACTCGGCTGTAAACAGCCGTGGTATCTGTACGGGTTACTGCAGTTACATTTAGTGGATATTAAATCGGTGACCTTTTTTTTTGTTCGGTGCAGCGGACAGCTACCGGATGTTTTACACAACAAATAAATTGGATTATATCTGTTACCACTAATTTATTTTGCACGTTTAGCTACTGTACTGCACGTTTTGCGAAACTAGCAGAAACCGCAGCAGAAGACTTTAATTTGTCGTCACAATCTGACTGTCGTCGATTTTATTTTCTTTAAGCCAGACCTTTGGACACTGACGAAATTCACACCGAGTTAAGAATATTTAGACTTTTAACACTATAATTCCGAGAGGCGAGTTAAATAAGGTAACGCGTACTGGCACTGCACTGAAAACTGAAAGTTGATGTCCAACACGTTTATTTATTTTTAAGCAATATTAATAATTTGCAAGAGACATGATCATTTTGGTTCCTATCCGTTCACTTCTGCTTCTGACTCTGTGTCTGAGCGGCCGCCGTGGTTTCGCCTCGGCACCAGAGCACCGGGAAGCGCCGAAGAAAATAGGTAGGATTTTCTCTGTCTTGAACAACGCCAAAGAAACTTACCACTCTGTACAGCCATGCATTTCGAAAAAGTTGGATATCGATTAAACGTCGTTTTGATAAATTGAGCATTAATAAAACACAGGAGTGAATGTAAGATTAGAGTTGACTGGCCTCATGTGCTGAGGTGATGCAATCAGCGTGTTGTTGTAGTTCAAGTGTTATTAAATAGGTATATATGCATTACAACAACTAATTTAAAAGAGAAATCCACTTAAACTTTCTAGTAGACGTAAAGGAAAAGGCTTTCGTTGACCATTAATGGAGCCACCACTGTGCTGGAATAAGAAGAGAAGAAACGTTACAGACGAGAGAAGCCATTTGTCCTTCTAGCCCATTTGGAAGTTAGTCGCTAGCTGATCCAAGGATCTCTTCCAGCTGTTTCTCAAACGAAGCCTGGGTTTTTGCCCAGTCTAGTATTGTTTCTTAATCATTTCCTGCTTCTAGTGTTTGCTAATCCATTAATTTTGTATAATCTGCAGACCTCTAAAGTTTACTAACAACAGTAAACCAGAATCGAATATTCTAGTACAGATCCCTGTGGTTCTCCTATAATTACACCACCCCACCTTGAGCATTCAACCTTTATTGTCAAACTCATGTTGGGGTTGAAAAGATGACCTGTACCCAAGTCACTTTGCTTCTGTTTATTAAGCAAAATGTTCATGTAATCTCTAGCCTGCAGCTGTTTCCTAGTGTGTCATCCCTAATTTGCTTTTTAAAATTCTGTGTTCTGTGAGAGTCACTGTGTCTCTCTCTGCAGCGGTGGTGGGCGCGGGGATCGGGGGCACAGCCACTGCCTACTACCTGCGGAAGGAGTTCGGGCCAGATGTGAAGATCGACGTCTTCGAGAACGGGGTGGTGGGGGGCCGGCTGGCCACCGCCAAGATCGGGGGGGGCGAGTACGAGACGGGGGGCTCCATCATTCACCCCCTCAACCTGCACATGAAACACTTCGTCGATCAGCTGGGTGAGAGCCGGCACGCCTTTAAATCGGTAGAAATGTCAGGCCTGGATCGCGTCAGTCCTGCAGCTCCTGTGTCAGTCACGAATCCTGCTCTTCACCAGATCCGAGCTCCTTTACAGCCGGTGGGTTCTCTCGGGTTTAGAGCAGCAGTTTCCAGTCCTTTTGAGTGGGAAGGACCCCTTTCAGTTTCCAGACAACCACCACACGCTACTAGATACTTATTTTTCTAAATCTAATGTAATAGTCAAGAAGTAATCCAGCGTTCATAATTGTTACTCTTTACAAATAGACAGCAGTGCTCTGTTTCACTTTACAGCTGACCTCCAGGAGTCCTGGGGCCACGGTTTGTGTACTGCTGGTTTAGAGGAAACAGAAAAGCACCATGAGGTGCTGAGCTAATCCGGGCCTCGTGTTGTTGTAGAAACACAGTACAGTGCAATGTGGACACCCAGACAGACTTAGGCGGGGTTAAGGGTTTCTGAAGACTGTACCCAGGCTCTGTAGCGCTGGAGTGTTCTCTGTCCCCTCGGAGGCCTGTCCCAGCGCCATGACGTGCCCAGCCGCATGGCCATCTTTGACGGGCAGCAGCTGGTTTTCGAGGAGAGCGACTGGTTCATCGTTAACTTCCTGCGCATGCTGTGGCGCTATGGCTTCAACTTCATACGGATGCAGATGTGGGTGGAGAGCATCCTGGACAAGTTCATGAGGTAAGGTCCTCCCCCCCAGCACAAGCTCTTCCTCCTTCCTTATTCCTCAGACCGATTTAACTCTCATTTCTCCACCCCACCTGTTTCTTAATTGATCTGTTAATTTCTCTGTGGTTTTCCTCACCTTCCCCCCGTCCTCCCTCTCTCTTTCTGGCAGCTCCTCCACACCTCAGTTTTGTCCTAAAATTATCTTTCCCAGTCTACCTCTCCCTACTATTCTTTTGCTCTTCTTCCTTTTCCTTATTCACTGCCCCATTCTCCCCTTTCATCTACTGTTCCCTTTCTACTCAATGCTTCAGCACTAGGTCCTTCTCTCTCCTAGGTCCTCTCTGCTAGCTCTGTCTCCTTGACCCCTATCTCCTCCTCCCTCTCCCCTAGCTCTGTCTGTCTCCTTGACCCCTATCACCTCCTCCCTCTCCCCTAGCTCTGTCTGTCTCCTTGACCCCTATCTCCTCCTCCCTCTCCGCTAGCTCTGTCTGGTTGACCCCTATCTCCTCCTC